TGCGTGTGTGTGTATGTGTGCGTGCGTGCGTGCGACCGTGCGTGCGTGTGTGTGTGTGTGTGTGTGTGTGTGTGTGTGTGTGTGTGTGTGTGTGTGTGTGTGTGTGTGTGTGTGTGAGAGAGAGTATGAGTGAATGTGTGTCTGTGTGTGTGTGTGTGTGTGTGTGTGTGTGTGTGTACGCGTGCATACGTCCGTGCGTGTGTATGTGTGTGTGTTTATGTATGTACATGAACGAATGCACGTATGTATGTGTGTGTGTCCCAATTCTTTAATCCCCCGTATTGAAACGAAAATAAATTTCTCAGGGCGATCCTCCAGCAAACGAGGCCGCCCCCGCCATGCCCTCGACGCCGCGTTACCCAGGACAGTTGCCACTGTTAGAAGCGATCACATTTCTCCCTTATCTGGCCGTGCGGTGTCTGGTTGTCATCGCTAACAGGATGTTTCACGATAATACGTGACGCTGAACCTCATCCGGTCGCTCCACACGCCATTCGCCGCTTCACGACAAAGACCGCCTTTGTATAATATGGGTTAAATGATTGTCAACCATCCTGTTTAGGCAACACAATTTCGCTCATTCCTTTCTCTGTCTCTTTCTCGCTTTCTCTTTCTCTGTCTTTTTCTCGCTTTCTCTCTCTCATTCTCTCTCTCTCTCTCTATCTATATATCTATCTATCTATCTATTTATCTATCTCTATCTCTATCTCTCTCTCTCTCGCTTTATCTCTCTCTCTCTCTCTCTCGCCTTCTCTCTCTCTCTCTCTTTTTCTCTCTCTCTCTCTCTCGCGCGCGCGCTCTCTCTCTCTCTCTCTCTCGCTTTATCTCTCTCTCTCGCATTATCTTTCTCTCTCTCTCTCTCTCTATCTATCTATCTATCTATCTATCTATTCATCTATATCTATCAATATCTCTCTCTCGCTTTATCTCTCTCTCGCTTTATCTCTCTCTCTCTCTCTCTCTCTCTCGCCTTCTATCTCTCTCTCTCTTTCTCTCTCTCTCTCTCTCACTCTCTCGTGCGCTCTCTCTCTCTCTCTCTCTCTCTCTCTCTCTCTCTCTCTCTCTCTCTCTCTCTCTCTCTCTCTCTCTCTCTCTCTCTCTCTCGTCTTCTCTCTCTCTCTCTCTCTCTCTCTCTTTCTCCCTCTCTCTCCCGCTCTCTCTCTCTCTCTCTCTCTCTCTCTCTCTCTCTCTCTCTCTCTCTCTCTCTCTCTCTCTCTCTCTCTCTCTCTCTCTCTCTCGCTTTATCTCTCTCTCTCTCTCTCGCATTATCTTCTCTCTCTCTCTCTCTCTCTCTCTCTCTCTCTCTCTCTCTCTCTCTCTCTCTCTCTCTCTCTCTCTCTCTCTCTCTCTCTCTCTCCTTCTCCTTCTCCTTCTCCTTCTCCTTCTCCCTCTCCCTCTCTCTCTCTCTCTCCCCCTCATTCTTTTTCATTCTTTCCTTCCCTCCCTCTCTCCAGATTTATAAGACAAGAATACAAGTTGAGAGAAAGAAAAAAATAACGAAAGACGAGAAAAAAAAAACAATAAGCGAAGTGGGAAAGGCGGAAAACAAAACTCGATAGCCATTATTCTCACCCAAAGGAAAAGGCGACGAATTTTGAAAGTGCAAAGAGAACAAGGAAAATATGTCAGACTTTTATTTTTTCTTTGTATTCTACGTGGCGTGTTAATTGCATGGTTTCACAAGCATGGTGTTTGAGTTGGACGAGGAGGTCGAAAGAATAGTCTGATACAGTAGCGTAGCGAGGGAGGGGGCAAGGGGGGGCAGCCGCCACCCCAATGCTCAGAAAGTTGGTCTCTGAGAAAAGTGCAAATCTGCAATAAAATTTGAAGGGGGTCCCCCTACAAATTTTATTGCACAAATGGCATAGCTCATTATAAGCCATCTAAAAAGAGCCGTTTTCCGGCATTCTAAGGGGCGTGGTCTTAAATTTTCCCGGGGGAAGATTCCCGGACCCCCTGCTATTTTTCTTTCCTGTTTGCCCCCCCAATCTTCCCGCTCTGGCTACGCCACTGGTCTGATACGATTGGGTTCTGGATAGACAATAATTATCACTGTCAGCTTTGCTTGGTATTATCATCATCATCGCTGCTGTTACCATTACCTTCATTTTTATCATTATTATTTCAAGCTGTGGAGTAATACAAAGGTTTGAGTGCACTACGTCACCTCAGTACAATAACAATATCCTCTCCGTGGCAGATTTTTTTTTTTTTTTTTTTTGATAAATAAAATCCATGTGAGTATTTTCAGGGTACTGTTTCAATGCTTACCTTACCATCACTTACCCTTATACACCCTGGACAGAGAGAAGGGCAATTGGAACAAGTTTGCCTCACATCCTGCACAAAAATCCTCCACTTTTTTTCCTCCAAGTGACAGATAGATGGTTGCCGTAACAAGACTACTGAGAACTAAGGACAACAGTAATATGGTTATCTTCCGATGATGTCATTTTGTGAACCGAGTGAAAGTGGCCTGCCAAGCGCCACGTGCTACGTT